CAATAAAAATAGCAGAATATACACATAAAATATCTTTTTTACCAACTCCCTAACTTCCTCTACATCAAAAGTTATGTATTAGGAAATAATGTGTCATGTTATATATAGATACACGTGATAAATGATGTAATTAAGTCTTCTACTCCATGCACATAATTTATTTTATATCATTGTTATATATGAACATTTTAACATGAGAAGATAAAATGTAATGATGGGTAAAAAAATGGGTTGCAGCTTTGCTAGGAGGAGGAGGAGGAGGAACGACTCTGGAGATGTTCCCTTCATGGCCAATCAGAACTCACCAAACTCTTCCTACTGTACCCTTTCTTCTTCTTTGACCCTTTCCTCTTGTTTTTTTCTCCTTTTCCGGCTTTTCCCTTTTCTTTTAAAAAATAAAACATTTATTCTCTTTTATTTTCGCATTTTACTCTCTAGTTTTATTTATTTATATAGTATATGTTTCTTGTTCCTCTTTACTATCCTATTATATATTTGCTTGTTTTCCCTCTACACTGAAAGCGATTTTTTAGACTTACTTTTTTAATTACTCCATTCCTTTCTCCTGACTTTATATTATACAAATAAACGCGATTTTTGAATTACACCCATTTGTCAATATTTATACGCTAAGGTCAATTCCTCCTTGTGTTACATTATAATTATCCCTTTTCTGACCTTCTTTTTTATTTATAAGTATATGTTAATTATACAATTTGTTCATATGAGGAGTCGTGTGATTATGTTGAATATGTATTATTGCAGGAGAGTTCCAAGTCAGGAGGAGAGAGCAGCGATTCTGGATCTGCTAATTTCTCCGGCAAAGCTGAAAGTCAACAGCCCGACTCTCCCATGAGCAGCAAACCACAGAACCATCATCTCATGCTTCAGCATCACAACAACAACAACAACAACATGGCCAACTCAAGTTCAACATCTGCACTTCCCTCTACTTCTCGAACTTTACCTCCTCCTAAACCTTCGGAAGATAAGGTAACTCACTCATCATCACTTTTCAAAAATTTTATATTAGAAAGAGATATATAGATTTATATGCATGGTACTTGGGAGTCATCATGAAACATGCATGCTTTTGGTGCATGTACATGGTATGTGTATATTAAATATCATCGCTAGCCTCTCTCTCTCTCTCTCTTTCCTTGTCACATGATAGATATGCATGCACATGCTTTTTCATATATGTCTATGTCCTAACAAAATCTTCCAATAAAACAAAAAACATACACAGATCCCAAAAAGGAAACGAATCAGAGAGATTTCAGAATTTTGACCTCTCAAATCGTTGATTCATATGATAACACTGACAAATTTTAAATACAAATAAAATAAAATCCCCCCCAAAAAAGCGAAATAAAGCAGAAGAATCTTCCTCCTCAGTGTTATATGAATATATATATTATTTTAAATTTCCTTTTTACTCTCCTTTCTTTTCCATGTTTACTTTTTGTTTGTTTGCATGTTAAACCAATGTTTCACTTTTTTCACATCCATTATTCTCATATATCTACTGGCGATAGATGAATAAATGTTATTTGATCAAAAAAGATGAATAAACGTTTAAATGCATGATTTCATATATATATACTATATCGGTTAGATACTTAGATGTAAAATATTTAATACATGCTGCTTTTCTTCTTGTCTATATATGAATATTATTTATCACAATGAGTGAGTGGACTTCACTTAGAAAATTGATTTCTTTCTTTCCACTGAATTCAATTTCTATTTTCATCTTTTGTTCTCTGACATTGCAGAGGAAGGCTACAACTTCAGGCAAACAACTTGATGCTAAGGTACATTAACGTTCAATTCATCATCATTACTTTCTCTATACATTTATTTGACTCCCCCCGAGGAGACATACATGCATATATATATATATATGTACATACTCTTTTACTAACCTTTCTATAAGTAGCTGTAATACTCCTTTTTACCTGAATTAATTCGTTAACTTCTTGTTTATCATAATGATTTTTAAAACTGGATTGATTTAGACACTCAGACGTTTGGCCCAAAATAGAGAAGCTGCTCGCAAAAGCCGTCTTAGGAAAAAGGTAACCATCACAATTACCATATGACCTATTCTATGTGTCTTCATTACTATTGTGTTGCATATTTTCAATGCTATTGCTATTATTGTAACATAGGCAGTGGTTCATTTTTGGCATTTACTTTCTATATCTACCACTTTTACCAGTCTTCTAATAATTCATTTATGAACGTATAATTTCCACGCACACATAATTCATTTAACTCCGAGAGATCTTCTGTGTTATTTTGAACAAATGCGTACATATGTTTTGCGCAGGCGTATGTACAACAGCTAGAATCAAGTAGGATAAAGCTTTCCCAGCTGGAGCAAGAACTTCAGCGTGCTCGTTCTCAGGTTGATATTAAATTATTTCTATTCTTTATAATCTTTTTTTTTTTAAATGCTAATTAATCTATTTTTACCTTTTCAAAACCTGTCAACATTGTTGAGCTTCTTAATTGGTTATTAAAAAATTTTGTTTGTGGAATTTTAATATATCGTTTATGTCGATATATATATGGCAGGGGCTGTTCATGGGTGGTTGTGGACCACCTGGACCTAACATCACTTCCGGTACTGAAACCTAAAACACCCATTTTTTTAGTATTATTTTATCAGAAATACGAAAACAAATGTTTAATAAATTACTATTAACCTAATTTTATTAACTTTGAAACGTACGTAGGAGCTGCGATGTTTGACATGGAATATGGGAGGTGGCTAGAGGATGATAACCGGCATATGTCGGAGATTCGAACCGGTCTTCAGGCTCATTTATCGGACAACGACCTAAGGTTGATCGTCGACGGTTACATTGCTCACTTTGATGAGATATTCCGACTAAAAGCCGTGGCTGCGAAGGCTGATGTTTTCCACCTCATCATCGGAACATGGATGTCTCCAGCCGAACGCTGTTTTATCTGGATGGCTGGTTTCCGTCCATCCGACCTAATCAAGGTTCGGTTTTTGTCTTTTCTTTTGTTCGCCATTTATATATTTATTTATATCTCCATACGTAAGTTTTAGGTTTTACTTACGTTTGCATGTGAATGATTTATAACTACAGATATTGGTGACACAAATGGATCTATTGACGGAGCAACAACTGATGGGAATATATAGCCTACAACACTCGTCGCAACAAGCAGAGGAGGCTCTCTCGCAAGGCCTCGAACAACTTCAGCAATCTCTCATCGACACTCTCGCCGCCTCTCCTGTCGTCGACGGGATGCAACAAATGGCCGTCGCTCTCGGCAAGATCTCTAACCTCGAAGGCTTTATCCGCCAGGTTCCTTTTTCTCACCCTATCTTTTTTTTTTCTTCCCCTTATATCTGTTTTTATGTGCATTAAGTTTACATTCTATATATATATATATATATATATATTATGACGTTTATAAATGTTTAGAAGAACACAACATGTTAGTAGTGTTTTTTTCCCCGAATAGTTGTGGAGAAATACAAAAGCAAAATGAAAAAAAAAAAACGGTGTGAAATATAAACTATATAATTATAGATAATGTTTGACTGAACATTTAATCATATACAGTACATAGACGAATATAGAATTCTGATGTTTTTATTTTCCGAAATATGTTAGGTGATATATTAACGTTTTGGGAGCAAATATATAAATACTAGACACACAGATATCTTAAAATGTCGAAATACGTGTGCCTATTTAGCGTACATATATATGAACAAAACATATGTGCTGGCTACATTGATAGGAAAAAAAAAAAAATCTGATAAAATGTTGCTTTCACGTATTGTCTCTTTCTGGCTTATGCTCAATTGGCCCATGTCCCCCTTATGTTTTTTTTTATCGTAACTATTTTTTAATAATAATATACTGTATGTTGTTTTAGTCTTATATTTAATTATTTCAATAGCCAAATTTATCTCACCAACTTGTTTTTATATACTAAAATAGATGGGAAAACAAAGAGAATATGTTTAAAGTATATCCCATCTCTTTCAAAGTTTTGCTTTGAACTCAATAAAATACATAGTGTATTATGTTATTTACTTGTTTTCAAACATTCGGATCAAATTGATTTTGTTTTTAATATATGTATCAATTACAAGTTATTGACTTTTGCAATACCCATTATTATCCCACCAAGGTAGTAGGTATGCAGTTGTCATTATCAAAATTTTAAAATTTAAGTATTATCATCAAAATGAAAAAGTGAATCAGTTTTTAAATGTCAAAAGTTAACTGTGGTTATTTATACATTGAAATATGAAGGCTGATAACTTGAGGCAGCAGACAGTTCACCAGCTGCGACGGATCTTGACAGTCCGACAAGCGGCTCGGTGTTTTCTAGTCATAGGAGAGTACTATGGACGGCTCAGAGCCCTTAGCTCTCTTTGGTTGTCTCGCCCACGAGAGTAAGCCATCCTTATATATAATCCATATTTACATTTCATTTATTAGTGTCTGTAATTAATGCTGAAATATTGATTTGATCCTTTGGTATATTATTAACGTGTGAATAGGACACTGATGAGTGATGAAACATCTTGCCAAACGACGACGGATTTGCAGATCGTTCAGTCATCGCGGAACCACTTCTCCAATTTCTAAATGAAAAAATGTTAACTTTTATTACAAATTAAAAAATAGGCAAGTTTCGTTGTCTGTCTTAATTTCGCCTATTTCGTTGTTTTTTAAGTTGTACTAGAAAAATAGGATCTTCTTTTCGCCTTTTTTTTTTTTTTTTTAATTATAGGTTTCTCATTTTCTGCTACTCTATGAAATTAACGTTCCACGTACGTAAATGGAACCGATTAATTCATGTGCTCAAGAAGAAGACGAGAAAAAGAAAAGAAAAAAAGAATTGAAAGGAATAAAAGATCCAGAACGACAAACGAAGCAATGACTGAAATTAACACGTAAAATCCATACAGGAGCATGAAATATTCAAAGTTTCTTGTAGAATCAACGTTTGACACAGTTTCCTGGATAAGTACATTTTAATAGAAAAAATACAAAAGTTGTAGCTTTTTCTTGACAAAAAGCAAAAAAAAGTTGGACCTTTTAATTCCTACCACTAATGAAATTAGTACGACTCTTTCGTTCTTAGTTTACTGTTTCAAGCTCTTTTAACACAAAACAAATTATTAGTTTAGTAGTACAAAGTCCGTTTTGTTAAAAAAAAGTCCAACTTCATCATCCAATAGAGAGAGAGATCATTTTTGAAGGTTCATCAGATCTTCTCAATGGAAACAGCAAAGCGTAGAACGATTTCCTCCATCGTCTCCAAGCTCAGCTCCGTCTCCGAACAAACCAGAGCCGCCGCTTTAGCTGAGCTCAGACTCATCTCTAAACAAGATCCTGATAGCCGCCTTATCATCGCCGACGCCGGAGCAATCCCGTACCTCGCCGAGACTCTCTACTCTTCGTCTCACTCTTCTCAAGAGAACGCCGCCGCGACTCTCTTCAACCTCTCCATCACCTCTCGCGAACCACTAATGTCCTCACGCGGTTTGCTCGACGCGCTTTCTCACGCGCTTCGTCATCACGACACCACCACCTCCCCCGCCGCGGTTCAGTCCTCCGCCGCCACGATTTACAGCCTCCTGATAGCCGAGGAGTCTTACCGTCCTATCATCGGATCCAAGCGCGATATCATCTTCTCTCTTATTCACATCATCAGATATCCAAATTCGCATCCCCGGTCGATCAAAGACTCCCTCAAGGCACTCTTCGCCATCGCTCTCTATCCGATGAACCGATCCACGATGATCTCTCTCGGCGCGATTCCGGCTCTCTTCTCGCTGATCGTGAAGGATTCGCGGTGCGGGGTCGTGGAAGACGCGACGGCGGTTATGGCGCAAGTCGCGGGGTGCGAAGAGAGTGAAGACGGGATGAGGAGGGTTTCAGGAGCCAACGTGCTCGCGGATCTGCTAGATCCTTGCACTGGTTCGTCCCTGCGGATCAAGGAGAACGCCGTTGGTGCTCTTTTGAATCTGGCGAGATGCGGAGGGGATGAAGCGAGGTCGGAAGTTGCGGCGGCGGTTGCGTCTGGCGCGGATGAAGGAGCCACGGAAGGGATCGTATACGTAGCTGAGAACGGTAGTGTGAAAGGAAGGAAGAAGGCGGTTGATCTGTTAAAGCTCGTTAATGGCGGCGATTCACGTTTTGACTATCTGATCAATGAAGAAAATCCAAATAGCAGAAGCATCTGATTTTAGTCTTACTAAATTTATCCATTCATTGATTCAAACACTTTCTACATTATCTTTATATATATATATTTGTATGTCATTACTGTACACTTTGAACATATTTTGTTTTCGTAAAATTGAATCATCAATCAAATACATTTTGATTTTGTACATGTGTTTCATGAGCATTTTCTTTTGTACATGTGTTTCATCAAATGGTGCGAGTTCAAGAATCCAAAAGTGCGCGTAGAATTGCATCGCAAATGCCATCGTAGTGCACGATCAGATGTCCTCCTTGCGGGATTTCGTGGTAGTTGATCAAGGGTTGATTCTGCAGTATGCATCTTTGAAGTTGAAATGGAACAACCTTGTCTTCCTTCCCATGCCAGATGTGAACGCAGCTCTCTTTGCTAATGCTTAGATCTGCGGGTTCGAAGTCCCATTGCCCGAAACAAGCCATGAAATCGTCCCTTAGCGTATCGAAAACATCTCTTTCCCGTAGCGAGTCCTATTTATATACCAAGTTATGTACCAAAATGATCAAACACTTCAAATTGGAATTCAAGTTAGATGGAGAAACCTAGGTAAGTGACCTTAGTAAGCATGGGAAAACCAGTAGTTCGCTTGAGCACCTCCATGTCATGGCTGTTGAAGTAGACCGGGTTGCTTTCGAGAACCGAACTAGTTGATGGGAAGAGCTTTTGAATAACCCACCAATGTAACAGTCCAGGTGCATATTTCGATATCCTTAAACCCCATTTGATAATACCTCTCCTGTAATCTTTCTTGATTAGCTTCGTAGGAAGCGAGGGCCACCGATAATTAACCACCGGAGCAACAAAAGCCACGCCGGATAACCTGCAAAGAAGACATAATATTCAACGGTTACTTAACTGTTCGTAACTTATTTAGCCTTGTCCTTAATTTTGGGTTTCAAGAATAGTTAAATTGCCTGTGAGGAATGTGTTTTAGGCAACCCCAAGTAGGGTAAGATCCCATGGAAATTCCAATTAGGTAAAACTTAGGTCCTAACTCCAACTGATCTGCAAGTTCAGCTATGTCATCAACTTCGCTTTGCAATGAACGTTTCGTGTTTGAATCCGATTCTCCATATCCAGAACGGTCGTAGAATAAAAAATACACCCCAAGCTCTTCTATTAGCTCCTGCAAAACTAAATCCAGATGAGATTTAAGGATATTTAAAACCAGAGGCTTGGAAACATCCAGGCAAGGTCCAAAGAGCATTTTTTTTTTACATTTGAGGAAGAGAAGTTCATATCTTTGGAGCTTCCAAAGCCATGAACAAGAATTATTTTGTATTTGGCCTCTTCCTTTGGAACTCCTCTTTCTCTATAAGCTAACAATCTCCCATCCCGAAGCTTAACCCTGTTTGAACTTGCAGAAGAATCCCCCATCAACCCTGATATAGTCACTACGAAAAGACGCAACTTTTTCCATTTTAGTGACTGATTTGCAATAATGTATATTTACCACACAAAATCAATTTGGGCATTGAAAGTGGCAAAAAAAGAACCAAGTTTCAGGTGATTTTTTACCAAAAAAAAAAAAAAAAAAAAGTTTCAGGAGATACCGACGGAGAAAATAATTGATTTTGAATCTGGAAGCAACACAGAAACGGTATCAATGGTGAAAAGCTGTAATCTTTATGTGCACTAGATGATTGATAAAAGGGATGGCCACTAGAAAAAAGCAGGTTCCTTGATGTATTTGAATTTGAAGGGAATAAAGAATTGAGCAAAATATTCCTCTTCTGATGCTTTGGCTAAACCCCATTCTTTAGAATTGTTTCCTGTAGCTGTCTACATTTACATCTATGTAAAACCTGAGACGCCACTGCCACTTTTACCAATCTCAGTCTTGTTTGATTCTCACACAAGTTAAACTTATTATATACACATGGAGAAACAGCATTTTCGAATATTCCTTATCCTAATCCTTGACGGTTCTATCCCCTAAATCTTGGATGCCACGTCAAATAACCAGTTTGAATTTGGAAGAGGTCATTTTCATATCAATCCCAAGAATAATAACTAGGCTTAAAAAGAATTTAAATAATATCACTGTAAAATACTTGAAAAAAAGAAACTGAACTGGATTTAAAATGCAACGTTGACCTCGTTTCGCTGGCTGGGCATGAGAACCAATAACCGGAGATGACCTTCTTGGCATAACTTGACAAGATTCCTATGTTGTGTAAGGATGGCATTACTGTTGCCTAACAAAACATGAGAAATAACGTAACTCTCTCCTTTCTCATTTGCAAATTGCCATTCCTTCACTGTCAAGTTAAAATAGTCTTTCCTTGTTGATACAGTTGCTTTCACCTCTACATACTCTTTCTTACCACCTCGGTTTTCGATTATTAGGTCGTAAGGTAACCCGGTTTCGCTCTGCTCATTAACCCATCTAACCCGAGCCTTCTTGCCATATTTTGCAGCAAAGTATCTGTAAGCAATTTCTTCACCTTTTCTACCAGTCTGTTGCGCTTGTGCAGCCCAAGGTGTGCCAGTGTGAAGCTGATGATCTCTTGCGCTGAAGTCCGTTGAGACATAATCATTCCATTCATGAACGATATTTCCTGATGTTGAGCCACTCTTCATGGACATAGGACGCGATGGGTTCGGCTTATTAGCTCTTGAACTTGTGCCTGCACAATCATCATATCCAGCAACCAAGTTTGTATCTGTGATCTCAGTCCGTATCTGTTTCTCAAGAGCCTCTGTTACAAGTTCCTTCTGATTACAAGGGGAGAGAAATAAAGTTACTACTCTACTACGGCACATCTGCAACTTTATCCTTCAGTAGAAGGAAATAATATGATCAAAGATATGAAAAAAAATATTCCCTGACTGAAATAGATTTCTCACTAAAACAAAGATATTAAAATTAAGACAATTCAGCACTTCTGGAACACAGAGCTAAAAGCTTTGGTACAAGACTCCAAACCAGGTATGAAAAATGCTACAAATAAGTCAAATTCAGGTGTTAAAAGAAATAGTAAGGGAATTTATTTCGTAAATGCAACCAGGTTTCAGTTTCAGACATTCTCTACAGGGAGACAGAATCTGCATCCTGGGATCTTGGAAGGTTTCCATTAATTTATTCAAGAAGAAACAGGGAGCCGAATTGTGGACTGGAGTTGACAAGGGGCACAACCTTTATCCTTTTTTCAGCCTGCCTCAGTGACATCGTGATGTGCACATGCAGAATCAAAGAGCAAAGCTGAACCAGGGAACTTTTTTACATTTGCTAACTCAACTCCAAGACTTTGCAACTGGGTGCTAAGTCTCAGTGCAAGAGCAGGGTGGCTTGAACCACACAAAACAAAAAGAGCACAAGAAGGAACAGCGGAAAAAAAAAAAAAAAAAAAAACAGCATAAACCCATGTATAGTTGTAAAAGTATGAATGAAAATGGTCTAGCTTTGAAATTCGGAAAATTTCAAAATTTGAAAAAGGAGGCGTCACAAACATGACCACTAACCCTTGAATTTGATATATATGCTCACTTCACACAGACCTAATTAGAAAATATGACCAACAACTCACAGCGACATGTAGTATTCCAACAAATGGAAATGATGACATCACTTTAGCTCTTTTAATATTAGCTTGTACTTCGGAACCACCTAGGTCGTAAGAAGACAATACTTTCTGGACAAACTACATGATTAAGAGAATATTAGAGAATAAAACATACAGCCTCAATTCCCTGTCAGATTCAAGCAAACAAAGATGATCTAATATAGAATTCAAACAGTCATCCAATCTCGATTTACTCAACATGGACTTACCATTGACATACTTAGCTCTTTACATGTATCTTTCCAAGTTGAAACGAACAGTCTCAAAGCTCCTTCAGAAAGTGTGAAATAAGCCTCATTGACACAGAAAACCTGCTTAGCATCAGAATCATCTGCCAATTTAGGTATCTTTTGTTTCGCATATCCTCTACGTAATTTACAGGGGTCTCTTCTAAGCAGTTTGGGAAAATCAGATATTTCATGAATGCGACTCTCAGCCTTTCTTTTCTTACTGGAGCTCCCAAGCTGCTTAATCTCTTCTGCAACAGATGGATATGAACAACTACTGAGATGGTCAGAACTATTATTTTTTTTGACCTCATAATCAGCACTATCATTGTCCTCCGAGCTCAATGAATTAAATCTTGTATGCTTGCCACAATAATCCTTATCTCGCTGTTGTATCTTTGGTGATAGGATGTGATACTTCTGATGCAGTTCAGTCAGCAAGATCTTCAATGTTTCACCTTCTTGTCTCTTTGCGTCTTGAATGAAAGTTACATACATCCTATAAAATGTAATAATCAAATATAATAAGCTATTGCAGTTTATACAATGAATGAGGTGAGAACATAATCTGGTGATCTCTTACAAAACCAGGTTCCTCGTGAAAAAGGAAGAAAGCAAACATATACAACCAATTGATACAATAAAATCCTAAGAGCACATCTCCTGAGGTAACAAATATAGACACTAATATGGAGATCTATAGCAACTTTTAACAGTGGTAAGACATATATGTGCGAAACCCAACTCCAATCAAACGACTAATCAACAAAAAATTAAATACTGTACATGATAAGACAAGTATAAAACCAGAGCACATCACTGATGTTCCAAACATCAATCTACTACTTGTAACCAAACTTCAATTTCTACAGACAATAAAAATCAACAAATCTCAGACATAGATAAACTATCACACTGATCATATAAAGTGCTGGATTTTTGAGAACAAAGCTATCTAACCAGCCTAATATCATCATACTAACTAACTCATAAGCAAGTTAAGATAACCCAAAGAAACAAAATCGTACCCAAAGCTTTGAATACGAACACCAAGCTTTTCCTTGCTTGTAACTGATTTTCTCGCAGCAACGAAATTCAAGAATTCATCGAGCTTAACATTGTCCATATCATAAGTGTTCAGATAGCTATCGAGAAAAGATATTATATCCTCACTAGTGATCCGAACTAGGCCAGTAGAAGCAGAGATGGATGGAAAATAGAGCAAGACAAGTGGATGCTGCAGCAAAGGTCCCAATCCCAGATCATCAAAACAACCAACGACCTCGTTTCGACATATTGCCACTTCCAGTTCATACAGGGTCACAATTTTTCTAGCCCCAACGTAGCAGTGAATGAACGCAATGATCTACAGGACATCAAGAGAACACATAATTCCTAAAGGTTTAATTAAGAAAAAGGAGACAACTTTGCAATAGGTAGGTTCTGTTTTGTTCTAAAAACACACAATTTCAAGGTGGCAATGTAGAAAAAGAAATTCAAACTTTACCTTGCCTTCAAGGTCCATAAGTTGGCGAAGTGAAGGAACATCTTGCAATTGCATCCCAAAGGAACGCCAAGAATCAACTCGAAGTTGTGCTTGAACCAATTGCCAAACTCTAGTCGAAGAAACGTTCTCTCCAGCAGCAACAAGCGATTTACGCGTCTTGCTGACTGCATTGTCAATTCGAATGACTTCAACATTACCGCCGGCGCCAAACTGCGGACGAGGGAAGTTGAGATTTTGCTGCTGGGTCTGGAATTTGTAATTTATGGGTTGATGGATACTGAAATTGGGAAACACGCGAGTCGCTTGAGGAACATATCCACCGTTCGCGGAGGCGCGTAGAGACCGCGAGCCGTCGCGATGTCCTTGCATTGGTCGGCCCCGGAAAAGCAACAAAAAAAAAAAAGTTATCGGAAAAGAACAGAAGAGGGTTTAAGCTCTGGTTTATATATACCTGCAACGTGACTCTAGTTCAGTCGGAGGCTTCAGCTTTGAAGGTTTAAGGTGAAACGTACCGGTTTAATTTAGGAATCTGGAATAGTTACTTGATTGCTAACTTAACCGGTATTGGTTAATAAAATAAAACAGTGCAATTTTTTTTAGTTAATTGTTTTCACTTAATTCCATTAAATTGTGCTATTATTTATTTATTGGTGATATTGGTCTAAGTGTATGTGGTTCACAAAACATGACCAGAAAAAAAGTATATACTACCGTATGTGAACCGGATGGCACGTAAACCATATAATTCGTAAATGAAAACGCACGGTTCAATAGTGTTAGCTATAATAATATCATTTTTTGAGGTTAGTATTCGTTTAGGCTCCACCACAACATTGACACATATATATATACATTGAATAAGCTTCTAGTTTCGACTCAAAATGACTACTGTACTCCAGTTTATTGTATAATCATATTTATACACTTTTTTTCTTTTCGAGTATTTTATTTCTTCATTTTTTTCTTTTCGAGTATTTTATTTCTTCAGGTATTGACTAATCTGCGGTTAACCTTAATATATTTTGTAACAAAAATTCTTGTGCCTATAGGTCAAACTCCACTATCTCTCTATCTCTTCCAAATCTTTACAACTACTAAAACTTCTTCTACATTTTAAAACCTTGAATCTAAAACTATATATTATCAATTAAAATTAGTTTTAGTAAACGAACATTAATTTCTGCAACTAGTCGTCTATGATTGCATTGATTAATCAATGCAATAAACCATAACAAATTCAATTAGAAACGAGATCATATAATGAAGCCATTGAAGGTAGTGGTTTCAGAGTTTTTAGCATATATTATCTTAAACAAAACGTAAATTATGGATTAGAGTCCTAGCTAGAAAAGTCTTGCCGTATGGGAATGATGTATACAAATATAACTTAATAAAAGTTCGGGTGATATCAAAAACGTCAATAAAAGTGAACGCGTGATTTTGTATCAGTTGTTGCTTTATATCATTTGTCCCTAAAAAGACGGCTAAAATGATGTTGAAATTGTTGTTTTAGTGCAATGATGAATTTTGTCTTCGCCGGTCTATATGCACTTAAAAGCCAATTATGACTATAAAATGATGAAATGATATCGTATTTGTTGGTATAAGTACGTTAGAATTTATTTAATATGTAATGGGAAAGGAAATGAGTGTAAAGACGAGTACGAGTCCTCTTAGGATTCTCTTTCATTGAAAAGCCTTGTGTGCTTGTGCGTTTCCTTTTCACTATGCGAAGTAAAAGACCCACCACATGAAGAAATTTACAACTCTTCTTTCCCCTTAGTGTAAACGCGTAGACACGTGCGAACGTCGACATATCTACGTAATACGTGTTGGGGTAGGAAGAAAAAAACAAAAACTTTACTGACCAAGATTTTGTATTCGAGAAAACAACAAAGAACCTATTTTGACGAACGGCTACGATACACATCAGGTAGCTAGCTAGGTTAATTTATAACCTTTTCCTACTACTAATCTTTACCCTTTTATCGTGGGGAGAGAGAGAGAGAGACGAGAGAGAGAGAAAGAGTGAGAGAGAGAGAGAGAGAGAGAGAGAGAGAGAGATGAGTTTGATGAATCCTTATGAGACGAAGTGTTTAGGTTTCGAATCCCCAAGCTTCATTGAATGGCTTAAACCTTCGTCTTCTTCTTCTTCTTGTCCTTCTGTATTATACCGTATGAAGACAAGAGATGCTATATCAAGATCCTCAAATCACCACCAGAGTCAGATGAACATGTTGGAACGATCTCTCTTCTTATACCAACCACAAGAACAACCGCTCAATACTTCTATCCAGTGCTTGCCTCTTCTAAACAAGCTCATGGAAAATAATAGTCGTCGTCAGACCTTGGAAGATATAAAAGAAGAGAGTAAGGATGATGTGGTTACTCTCCAAATCGGGTTCCCTGATTACCACCGTGGTAACTCGGTGGAGGATGAGTCTGATACAACTTCCGATCATCAGGAGAAACCGATCAAGAGAGAGATGGTAGAAGATGGCGTGGTGATGATGAACAAGAGGAGGAAGATGAAGTTTGATGCGGAGATGATTGATTCTGATATGGAAGTTTGTGGCAAGAGGTTTTGGATACCAAGCCCGGCTCAGATTCATGTCGGTCCAATGCAATTTGCTTGCTCTATTTGCAGCAAAACGTTCAATAGGTACAATAACATGCAGGTACGTCTTCTCCCTATATATATATCATCCTTAATTACTTATCCTATATAAATGATTTGTTAGCTATCTACGTTCATCTACAAATCTTGCATTATGTGTTAACCATCATCATTATATGTCATATTAATTAGCAAGAGAAACTAAAAACATTATTACTATGTCAACTTTACCTTTGCCTTTGTCCATTATTCATTGGGCATTTCATTAATTTACGGTTATTTTCCTAAATAAGCAAAAAAAAAAAACAACTGATCAAATTATATATTTTTTAGAGGAATAACATTTTTACATTCAATCGCAGCAACCAAAACTTTGTTTTTTTAATAATCTTAGTTTTTTATAAATACCATATTTCATAAAAAATAAATGATCATGTCTTCAGTAATGTGTTGCACTTTGTGAGTGTATATATCAAAGCAAACAATCAATAAGTTTTTATCATATACATTACCACCTACAATAGTTCCTTATATGGATCATACACTTCTTTTTGTACAATAATACTCGAAAATATATACTATCGTCTGTGTATTTTTTTCTAGATATTAATGGAACGAATATTTTACACTTGTAAATGAAAGATTTTAAACATTGATGACTTAATTATTACGATAATTAATCGCGGTTGGTGTATAATTCGTATAGTAGTAGATGTAATCAATTATGAGAAGGCTAATTGGGTGTATAAACTTCTGGATTAGTTGAGAAACCTTCAAAAATCTTTTGACTTTTCCATTGTTTGCCTTGCCTTTTGGTTGAAAAGCCAAAAAGCAAAAGAATAATCACGGAGTGGGATTTGGTAAAGTATAATTCAGCAAGAAACAAAAAAGGGGAGAAATTTTAAAAAAAAGCAATGATCATACTACTTTTACTGAATATATATGCAATCGATTACTCTACCTAATGAAGATCTCGCTAAAAAGCCTTCTAACTAAGTATGTCACTAGTTTCTATATTTTACTTAGGATTCCCTCCTCTCCCAAATTTTACTTTGGTCCAACTTTAATTCGAAATTAAAATATGTGTCATACCAACACTACCATATTTTTTTATGTACTGTAACATATAATAAGAATATTAATATGATATACAACAGAAATATTGAAACTTCGATAGAATTACTAGACACCGTTAACAGAATACTTATGTTGTAATGAATTAATGTATGCAAAACACAGATGCATATGTGGGGACATGGATCGGAGTTCAGAAAAGGGGCTGACTCGTTGAAGGGCACAACCCAACCTGCAGCCATCCTGCGGCTACCATGCTATTGTTGTGCAGAGGGATGCAAGAACAACATCAACCACCCACGGTCCAAGCCCTTGAAAGATTTCCGTACACTTCAGACACATTACAAACGTAAGCATGGCTCCAAGCCCTTCTCTTGCGGCAAATGTGGCAAAGCTTTGGCTGTCAAAGGTGACTGGAGGACTCACGAGAAAAACTGCGGAAAGCTTTGGTATTGTACGTGTGGATCAGATTTCAAGCACAAGAGGTCTCTCAAAGACCACATCAGGTCCTTCGGCAGTGGACATTCTCCTCACCCGTCTCTTTCGTTTGAGGGTTTTGAGGAGGATACAGAATGTGTCACCACAGAATGAGCATCATACACCGGATTGACTGTGGAATCATCGAGCGACCGGTAAGATCTGAATTTTCTAATGTTGCTTCAAAACTATCCGCCACAAAAACATCTCAAGTCTACCAAAGAATTTCTATCTTGGAAAAGGAGAAATTCTTTGTTAGACTCGATACATATCAAAATATAGAAAATTTACCAAATGATACTAACGAAGCAACATTATTAAATTTAGATCTTTTTATGGTGATATATATGGTTACGATAAGTCCACATGAAGCCTGGTGTTCGTCTTATAACGTCTTCCTTTTTTTTTTTTCTCTTAAGTTTGAGTATTGGTGTGTTGCGTACTATGCATGTGATATCATATATCATTAGGGTTCTTGGTTTTGGTTTGGTAGGGGATTTTTGCTACTAGGTAACCTTAAGAAAAGAGGTTTAATTATGCTCACCAACAAAAACTTCTCTTTTTTACGAGGGTTGTATTTGTTGGGGAGCATTTTGTGGCTTGTGTAAACCCCCTAGTTATCTTAGTGATTAGTAATTAAGTATGATCTCAGTCTTAATTAGGGTTTCCTTATTTAAAATAAGGGTGATTTATCGGTTCAAATTTTGTGAAGCACGTGAATTTTCTGTTTCTCTCTCAATGTAATTTTGTATTAGAAGAGAAAATTGGTGTGCTTCACTTCATTATATTGTACGCATTACGATAATCATCAAGTAAAGACTCTTTTTCATTACATATCATGTGCTTTTGATCTTCTTGCTGTTTACAAAGGATTCACGCTGTTGTGTTTTGTATGAATCAACGTACAATTCAAAACATATCTACGTACAAGAACAACTCTCTTTCCAAAGCATGTTTTTTTCAAGTTAAAATAACAAAAAGAATGATATTATATCTGGGCCGGCTCGTAAGACTTGACAAGTCATCTGAACGATTTTGACTTATATAGATGTGTAAATCGTCAAAATTTACTATATATATATATATCAATGTGTGACACCACAAAATTTTATAAAAATTGTAAAGAGCACTCACTCTTACCATTTGGGAAAGTGTTAGCAAAATCTTTGGGACTTGGACAAAACGACAGTGCAAACTCTAGCCAACAAGCTTCTTCGCTTGAAACAATAACAACTCTCTGACAAAACTCTTGATGGTATATATGTATATTCAATGGAAAACATGTAACAAAGGGATCTTGAATTCTTTAGGCAAGAATGGAATAGCCCTGGGATTGTTCTCCAGGTCGCGGTACAATCTATACTCTGCTTCATAGTCATGAAGCTTTAGCTCTGCTTTCTGATTAGTATGGTAATGGTGCTTGGTTGAATTCAACTTCCCAAACCCGAAAAGGCTAACTTTCTCACAAACTCCCACGGCAAGCATCACAGCCTGCATACCAGACGAGTAGTGAAACAACGAGCCTTCATGACCTTTACTCCAATCTACAAACCCTTCTGCTTTCTTCTCTTCCAAGAACTTCTTGACCGAGTAATACTTCACTATTCTAGCACACAGGACATCGAATCTCGGATCAGTGATGATCAGAGGAGCTCGATGCGAGGGTTTGCAAACAGTATAATCCAAAACGTGAATCGGTTGGCAAATGTACATCACAATAGGCACTGTTTCTCCATACGGATGACAATAACAACTCTCCCTTCTCCCACACTGATGCAAAATGTTACTATTTATGAAAGATATACTCGTTTTCGATCCGACCTTCTTCTCAAACCTCTCTGTTTTCGCATTGTTCAACCGAATTACAATCTCATGCTTATCAATGAGATCTCCGTATTGGCTATTCAGCAATGTGCCGCTATTCCCAACCACTGCACAGGATGAGTATCTTTTACTCGAAACCGAAACAGCACCATTGTGGGAATCAATCGGATTCTTGACTAATCTGATCAAATCTAACATGATTTTAGGTTCATAAGCTCTTCTACGAGCCCAAAGGTGTAGATTTCTCTTGAACTCTGACCAGTAACGGTAAACCTGAGGGGAACGAAGCCTTACCGGAAATTTGGAAGCAATGTCTCTGCTCCCATGGCGATGTTGTTGTTCGCTCGGTCTTGACATGGAGCTGAAATGGCGGCGATGGCTTCTCCGAGTGTTGTCGTAATCTGAAATCAGATCGACCTCTTGCTTGAACTTGGGTTCGCCGAGATCAATGGCGGCGAATTCGAGCAACGTCTCGTTGAATACAATCTCTTCAGCCATGAGTCCGGAGTTACCGAGCTCGGCGATGGCGGAAGCGAAGGAGAAGCTACTCCGGCGAATCGCCACCCTGCAAATGAGCGTGGCGGCGAAGAAGGCGAAGAGGAGAGCACTAAAGAGAGGCCTAACGGATCGTTTCATCGGCTCCCAGAGAGATACGGAAACGTCGGGAAGCTCAAACCCCCAAAAATCGGCGGCGCGGGTCGGATCTTGAAGTCGGATCCATGGACGGGTAAAAGCAAAGGAAGGCCAGAGACTTTATTTAGAAAGCTATGATCAGAGAGTTGAGGGAACGCTACTTGAAAGAATCTAATAAGATATGGTTGGAGACTCCATAACAGAACGTGAAGAAGAAGAGGAGGGTGGATAGTGTGAAACTGAAGTCAAGGAGACGACATTGACATTGACATTGACATTGTTGCTTAGAAAAGAAAAGAGAAGTGTGAGATATGGGGAAAGAAAGCCCTTATTAAATGGAGGAGATCTAAAGAAGAGATATAGATCCAATTCAACTAACATTAAACAAATCATTCAATTACTCCTCCTTTCCCTTTTTTGTAAGTTACAGTCATGTTGGGGGAGACTGGAGAGAGAGTGGTATAGTTTCATTGTTTTTGTAAGTGGGGAATTAATGATGTCACAAATCAAATACTAGTTTATTTCTGCTTTGGGAAACCATTCTATTATTATTATTGTGAAATTGTGGTTAGGGTGTTATTCTCTTTTAGGGCCTTGAATGGCGTAGCAGATTAAAAGCAGATGGTACGCATAACGGGTGAACTGCTTTTTTTTCACCATTCACCACTATTTTATATTTAAACGAATTTTATTAAAAAATAAATAAAAATTAAATATGATATGCAGGCAGATCATAATTACAAAGGAAAAATAATGATCTGCTAACACTTCATTTTTGATGCGTATCATGTCTGAACTGCTTTTTTATTTAATATTTTATTAAATAAATAATGTTGTAATAATAAACACACATATATATATATATATATATATATTTAATATACCACTCTAAAAATTATTTGTTAAAAATTCAAAAAAAACAACTTAAATTCATAAAGTTAATATATTCTGTTTAAATCACAAAGTTTTCATAATAAATAATTCAAAGTTTTCTTACAATTGTTAGTTTAACTATATTTTTTGCTCCACTATTCTAAGTTTTCTTATAAATATTTCTTTAAAGATTTTTTTTTTATTATCATAGTTTACTAATTTAATGCATCACAAATATTGTACTTATTAATTTTATTTTCATGATTATTATACACCACGTATGTTGTAACATAATGTTATTATATTATATATTGTAAATATTAGTTTTAATTTAACCCATCTCAAAAATTCTCTTAAATTAATAACATTAAATGTTTACAAATTTACAATATAAAATTCAAAATAAAGTAATTTCTCATCATTATTATGATTTTCATATATAAAAAATTCAATAAAATCAATATTTTTAAAATCTACACCTATTTGATTGGTTTTCACCATTTAATTTATACTTTGTAGCGGTCAAACCACTTGATCTGCACTTATACCGCCAAATCTGTTTGATCTGCTTTTGTTCTCCTTGATCTGCTTGAACCGCTTGATCTGCACTGCTTGATACGCTTTCTCCATTCGAAGCCTAGGTAGTTAAATAGAGTGAGCTGTCCAATTAGGTTTTTTGTCTACGTCCTTCGCCAAACCTCATTTAAAGTCCATTGATTGAATGATGCTTTTAAACCCTTTTTTGGGCTTTCTTCGTGGTGCCGTGCAAACCACTCTGATGCGGCTAGCCCTGTATGTATATATAAGCCCACCAAACATCATTTATTCCAAATTTTTCCTTTTCGGTAAATTAAAAACATTAACTGCGATCGTTGACATTAAAACGGCGAGTACTTTTCTCGTCATCAATCAAAACGGTTAGTTAAAAACCCCAATCGGTCAAAAGAGAGCCAACCGCCTTGACGTTTTGATGTTCTATGCTCAAACATTCGGTTGTTTTGTTTTTTTTCAAACGTCAAAATTTCCAATTTCTCACAATATATACGTTTACCTTTTGTTTTGCATGTGAACGTAAGCTCGGTGTCCTTATTATACGATGTCTCCCTAGTACTTTATCAAAATCCGTTCTCGCGATTATTCTCTGTTGTATTTTCCAATCTTCATATAATTACTTTCTTATACACAATCTGGCAAAATGGCACCGAGCTTACGTTCACATGCAAAACAAAAGGACCATGGTTCAAGGCTTTGGCGCTGATGTCGTCCCTGCAATTTATCGCTAAGGATTAGAGTTAAGGTTCAGGGGTTAGTTTTTAGCGATTAGTGTTATTTCACCTTTCAGAAAGTTATTATGTAATGCTAGTTAGTTCATATGATTTGTCACCATGGAAAGACAATTTATTTTGCGTCTGTTAGGTGTAGAAACTATGCACAAATCAATTAAGCTATAAATGATGTCAATCGCTATTGTTTCGTCAGCAGCTGGTGAATTGTAAAATCCAAGAGGTACATTCTTCTAACATTTTAAACCTTTGACGTTTTGCTATATCCAAGAAAATCTCCATCCTCTTGTGGAACTCTGACCCGCTCTCCTTGCATCTAAAGGAACCAGAACACTCACACTGCTCTGTCAAATGGGCGGCTTTCACCTGATTGCACCTAATGCAGACTAGATCCTGCATATGGTACATTCTCTCTCTCTGTCTCACCATCTGAAGAAGACTATTCTCCATCTGCTCTCTGTTATATATTTTCCCACAATGTGTATCCGCACATGACCATTCTTTCTCTGTTAATAGATCTGGGTCTCTGCATAAATCTAGGTCTCTGTAGGCATCGCAGTTGCTGCAAGAATAAAAACAGTATAATCAAAACTTGGTGAGTTCTTTTTCAGCCGGCTTACTGCTTAGTACTGCAAAAAAGTCAAGTACTAAAAACAATAGGCGTTGTGTTTGGGAATAAGATAATGGTAGCATCTTTGCTCTGGGATTTGGGGGTTTAAGGCGTCTTTCTTTTCTTTTAGTGTTGCAGACAGAGAAAACAATTTATCTATAAACTAGAGATAACAAAATGAACAGAATGCTTATTTGAATCACGAAAAATTGAGCATTTCTTTTGGTCAAGTAATACCTGCAAGCAACATTCGGTAAGATGCAGGAGGGCCCAGGATCAAGAAATTCGGCTTCAGCAGAAAACTCTTTTACGTTAATGTACTTCAACAGATTCTTTCTCATTACCTATAGAGAAGAGATTACGTCAGCAACATTGTAGGTCTAGAGAACAAAAATTGAGAAGACAATAGTTAACACCCATCTAAAACTATACGGCTTTTTTTAGGTAAACATAGTTCACTAATCAGATTTCTGGAGTTTAGATTGGATTTGTGAATGAAATCAGTTACAAAGAGGGTTTCTAATTATACACAGTAGATAAAAAAATGCTTCATCATTAGAATTTTCATATCCAAGATTAATCCATTCAGAGGACTTGTCATATTGAACCAGTGTCAGGTTAAATGAAAAATGAATGGGTGGAGTATTTACCAGAACCTCTTGCTCGACATTTTGGTCAAGAGCCAGAACAGCAGAGATAATCTGTATAAATTCTAACGTGTAATCTCCTTTGGTAGCTTGACCAGAAACCCGAGATACATCTGAAACGTTTATCTCCTTCATGTGTGACATGATATCATCGACCTTCTTAAAAAGCATATTTATGAAGTTGGGTCGAATCTGCATACCAGAACACAAAAACAAAAACAATGAGGAGACAATTTTTTCAGTGAAGGAAAAGTAAATCAAACGCATTGAGTTTAAGACTACCTGTTCTTTTAGGTATTCTACCATCTGTGCCTCTAAACTCTCTGAACTCCCCTTTTTCTTCTCTAATGCAAATTTCCAGGGGTCAAATATAAACTTGGCAACGATTATATCAAAATCACTCTGCCAAGATAGATGAAAAGCATAAGTGTTCAAGAAAAAAAGTCCATGTGTTGCCACATGTTTATCGTTTCCTAAATGAACCTTTATTTGAGTGGGGTCTGTCTGCAAACCTTAATATACTCGGGTAAGTGTCGTGCAACACACCACTTTGGTTCAATAGCCACTTCGTCAGGTGAACTTTCATCATCAGTAACTCGGATACCAGTGTAGTTATACTAAAATGTTAAAAAAAAGAGATATCTTGATGAGAGGGTAAAAATAAGGAAAGGCAAGATCAAGATGTCTGATTAAACAAAAACAAATGATGGATGATAGGATTTTAGTAGAGTTCCTTGCAACTTCGACATAACTTTTTAACCATCAAGGTGAAAGGATTTTACTTATCAGTTATTCCTTGGCCCATTCTGGTTTACTGGAATAACATGTATTGAGGTCCCATGGATTGTCACTTTTTCATTTCCTCTCTTTGAGGCTCAATTTTGTGTTCAGGGGTTTGTAATTTTATAATTTACAGCAACTTTTGCCATGTTTAGCAATCAGAAATTGAAAATACAAAAGGGGAGTATAAGAAATAAGAATTCCAACCTGATCCATGAAAAGTAGCGAGTGCCAGTAGTGAACCGGCTCGAGCAATATCCACTCAAAGATATCACTGTCAGTGGCATAACACAAAAATGATGGCAGGAAAATGAGTGCAGTCCATTAGAGATATAGTCATAAACATATATACTGGCAAGGAAGAGACCAACCTATTCCCCACCGCTGCAAGCAAGCTTTCACAATAGGCCTTAGCAGCAGATAGATCAAATTTCCCTGTGTCGATAATGACCTTTGAGAAGTCTGAATATATTATTATAGCACTCAATCTCCGCAAATCAGTCAATAGCAATGCGAACACCTTTTGCATGACCTACAATATTCATGAAAAATGCAGGATGTAAAATGGGTTTATAATTTAAAAGGCTAATAAAAAAATAAAAATAAAAGTTAAAAGGCTAATAAAAAGTTAATGTAATGGCAAATCTCAAGATCTGAAGGTGCCTTGGGAATTATATGTTTTGACAGGCATAATCCAGACCAGCAAGGAGATATATATTGTAAGCTACAGATTCGATAAAATGAATTAACTGAGAAAGATTCAGAGAGAGAAGGGGGATGTAATATAAAGTTTGCTGATTTATCCCCACCAACTCAATTTTTCTTTTTGTCATCAACTATTATCAACACCAACTCATTTCTATCTGATAAAAAGCAAGACAGTCAAATATTATTTACCTTGTGAAGCATGAGATGAAGAGCTGGATCATGGAGCTTAGAGGAAGGGCTACAATAAGAAATTACAGATTGGTATTATATGAGTCAAGTTTAAAGTGAACATGTTACAAGATGTGACATAATTATACCTGCAGAGCCACCAAGATAAACGTTGCAAAATGGAATCAGCATATATATTGTCATATTTACGCACATCAGCCAAGCAACTCTGAATCAATTGTTTCAGGACACGAAATGCTTGAGCACATCCAGTGGTCTCATCAAAACTGGTGTTATCGTCTGAATTAATTCCTCTAGGATTC